CTTCTGATTACTCTGGTCTCTTCCTATTCTACTGTCCCAGGTTTTACCTAGTTCTCGTTTGTGCTTCATTAGACTGACCCTCCCCCAAATCGCTGTTGTAGCCTTGTGACCTTGAGGTTTTTCTCAGCTGAATGCCCAAGGGCTTGGTCAGCTAATATGAGTATTTTCCAGATTAGCTGTACAGACATAATTTCTTGGATTTTGCTGGCAGAAAGGTGAGGGAGCCATAAAGGAAGGCAATTGTGTGATTAGTCGGTTGAAGCAACTCGAGGTTTAAGATCGTGGGGCTTGGGAGCTCCTGCATTCCCTACTTGGATATTAACTAGGATGAGTGCTTTCATCTTTCTGAGCCTGTTTCCTCCTATGTGAAATGACATCTACAGTTTACCTCTTACATAGGGTTCTCTAAGGATTAATAAGCATAAGCCCTTATTACTGTGTCTGGCACGCAGTAAATTCTAAGGTAATGAAACTTCTGTTATCATTATTTTCCTCGGGAAACCTAATAGCCCATAGCCAGAGCCGATGGTGAAACAGCCAAGTCTTAAAACTGGCAAAACAAAGCAAAACTTGCACAATTCCTCAACCACAATCAAAATAGAAAAAGCAGGTATGTTAAGATTTACATTGCATTTCTATGAATATGAAAAATTAAGAGGGGAGAAAAACCATTGTATCTCCTGTGTCAGTCTAAAATATTTTGAAAAAACAAAAACTCAACTACACTGGATTTGGAACTTGTTGATGAGAAATGTAGAGGAAGTAGATTGACTTACAAAGGCTTATTTCCTGGAGCCAGCCAAACTGGCCTCAGTCCTGGCCCTGTGGCTTGCTCACTGGTAACTTTTTTTTTTTTTTTTTTGTGGTGGTACTGGGATTGGAACTCAAGGGTTCGTACTTGCCAAGCATTTGCTCTACCACTTGAGCCACACTTATAGTTCAGCTCACTGTAACTTTAGGGAAGTCAGTTAGAGAGCTGAGCCAGGGTGTCCTGATGTAGAAGTAGGCTTGGTTAACCTTTGCTTGCAGAGCTGTGCCGGTTATAGGTGGGAAGGTCTAGTCATAGTGAATTGTAGCTAGTATATATATATATAAAGTATATATTTGACACAGTATGATACATAATATGAAAAGCAGAGCTTATGGTTGAGAAAAAGAATAACTGGAAAGATCTAATTATGGGAGAGCAAAGGACATAGGCCACTAGGGGGAATTGGCTTTGGCTGGCAGAGCCTGTTGGAGTTTTGTTGAAAGGTGAGAACCAAACAGAAGCTAGATTTGGGCTACCTGAAGAGAACAGAGTGGGGGACTATCAACAGGAATGGGGAGGATGGAGGGAGAAAACAGGCTTGTTTAGATGTTAAAAATTTTGGACTGGAGGTATGGCTCAAGTGGTAGAGTGCCTGACTAGCAAGAGTAAAGCCATGAGTTCAAATCCTAGTACTGTCAGAAAAACTTTGATAGGAGAATTATTTTTAGAAGACCTTTATTAAGAGTTAATACTTGTACTTGTACATGGAAGCAATGCTAGGAATCTCTCTGTATAGCTATCCTTATCTCGACTAGTAAAAACATATGTCTTTCTTATTATTGCTTATGTCTGCTCTTCAACAAAATTAGAAAAAGGGGAAGAACATGTTCTGCCTGGAAGCGAAGGGGGTTGGGGAGGGAGAGGGAAGGGATGGGGGGATGGAGGAGAAATGGCCCAAACAATGTATGCACATATGAATAAATGAATTTAAAAAAAAAAGGTAACAAAAAATGTCAATACTTGAAGTGAAAATACAAAGGAAACCAGGGGAGAAAAAGAAAGCAGAAATGTTTGTATATAATTTCCAATTAATGAGATTAAAAGATGAGGTGGTTTCATATACCTCATATTTAACATAATCTACATAAAGCAAGATTATTTTATTTATTCATCCTCTTCCTTCCTAATACTAGTGTCAACTCATACTGATGGTTGATACACACAGGCCTGTAATGTAACATGCTTGTCTTTACATTCTTATGAAAATATTTAGCTGCTTCTTTATTTCAGAAAAATCTTTGAAAGGGGGGGGGAAAAGTCATAACCACAAAACCCCAAATTGCTCTTTTAGTTACGATTGCTGGCTTTAGATTAAATGCTGTTTAGATAACAACTCTTGATTATCTATTTGCTGATCTCATAACATTTATTGAATTCCTGCTTCTTGTGAGGTTATGGTTTATGCTCACAAATGAGATGATTAACTCCCTGACATTTAGGTGCTTTTAATTTTATTGTGTGGACATTAGGTAGATAACTTAGTCTCTATTAGAAGCATATGTGTATATATATCTTTATTGTGTATGGGCGCATGGACAAGGGGCATCAAATCACAACTAAGACTTAGGAAGGCTGTTCAGAAGGGATTCTTAATCAGCTGAGTTTTAGGGAAAAAAAAAGGCTTGCAAGATGAATTACTTTAAAAAAAAAAAGTTGATGGTGTGGAGGGCTGATGAGTGGCTCAAGTGATAAGAGCACTGCTAGCAGTTCAGTGCTAAAAAAAAAAAAAGGCATTGTAGTCTGAGGAATCCTATATAAAGTTATAGACGTGTGACTCACTGAAGAAACTCTGCAGCTCCCTGTGATCACTTACGTTTAAATTGTTAGAATTCAAATGAATCTGAAACATAGGTAAATCAGTGGCCATTGGTGTGTGTACTGTAATCCCAAGCACTTCAGAAGGCCTGAGATGGAAGGATTCATTTTAGTCAAGAGTCAAGGAAATAGCCTGAGCAACATAGCGAAACCCCATCTCAAAACGAGGGAAAAAATTGTCACACTAGCACATGTTTAGGCGCTCGTACATAGCTGCCTAGGCTACCATCATTGGACAACTCCAGCATATAGAACTTCCCTCGATCATTTTGCAGACAAGGACCAAGGCTGCTCCAAGTTGTTCAGTCTGTGGATATTGAGCATTGGTAATATGGTGAAGGAAAATAAGCAGAGACTAGGGCAGAACTTCATGGACAGAGTTGGGTGCTGAGCAAAGTTTGAACTGTATCCTGAAGGTTGCTGTGAATCACTTGAATGATTTTAAGTGGAAGAGTGCTATGATTCACTGTTTAGCTAGATTCTCCCAAAGCAGGGGTAAAGACTAAGTTGCGAGAAGCAGAATACAGTGTTGAGGAGTCTCTGCTAGAGAAAAAGAGTCATCTGAGGGACTATGCAAGCTTTATTCATTATTATCATAATTATGTTATTTGAAAAAAGAAGAGCCATCTAATAGGAAGGTAAAGAGTTTGTTTAAACTTGTGACTCAGGAGAAAGGCGACCTTGTTGGTTGACTGATGAAGTTCACTCAGTGAGGGAGTAAGGGAGCAGTCTTGGGAGTATCGGGATGAGCAGTTACTGTTGACACCAGGCATGGAGTAGAGCAGTGTGGTCTAGACTCCTCACAGAGAATCTAGGTAGCAGAGAATATTTCATTCTCTATTAAGTGGTAGTTGAATATGAGGGAAGAGTTGATCAAATAGGTAAAGAAATCAAAAGTGAAGAGTGGAGTGTCTGGTGGTTCTACATCTTTATTCTACCTCTTAAGTGGCTAATAGGAAAATGTCCCATAAAGAGATCCCCAGTAAGTAGGAGGACAAACGAGAGAGCAGGAATGTGAATGAAGGGGAAAGGTGTCAAGTAACTTTAGGATACTTGGAATTACATCTCACCTTGACTACTCAACTGTGATCTCTGGCAAATTACCCAACCATCTGAGCTTTTGTTTTGGCATGTGGGATAGTTCAGAATAGCTTCAGTTGTGTAACAGGAGATTCTGAACAGGCTGCCCATTTGGTTGATTTTGTAATGTTTACCTTCCATCTTATCCTTCTCTCTTTAATTACATAGAAAGCTTCAAAAAGTGCTGATTATGGACGAGTTTATGGTGAGTTGTGCTCAGAATTACACAAAAGGTACTTTAAACTGGTTTACTGCATATGAATTTTCAAAGGAACAACAGACTGAAATTGGTATTTAAGGCTTCATGGTTTTTTTTTTTTTTTTTTGGCAGGGCAGTACTGGGGTTTGCAACTCAGGACCTTGTATTTATGCTATGCATGTGCTCTATAACGTTGAGCATGCCTGCAGGACCACAACTTAGGTTAAAGAAGCATGTTTAGGTTTCCTACTTCTGAAATAGAAGCAGGATAAACGGGTCAAAAGAGACTATACAACAAAGAAGTTATAAGTTCATTGATTTTAGAAAATTCATTGTATAATCAAGATATATTCAGGAGTTGCCACTAGATTACTCTTAGAATTAGGTAAATGCCAAAAGATACGGTATTACACAAGTTATTTAGTTTAAACTATATTATATATTTCCTTCCCTCCATGTTCTATTTCCCACAAACCACTTGTCCACAACTACAAATAAAAAAAGGAACACATCCCTACCGTAGGTTTCCACATCTTTTTCTGTAAGTAAATATCTATTGAACATAGTTATTTCTTCTGAAATTTGTCATTGTTTATATACTGTCGTCTCTGCTTTCCCATGTCGTGATGTTGGTATGGTTTCTCCTCTCTCTGTTGTGTTTTGTGTGTTTGTGTGTGTGTGTGTGGGTGTAGAATGTGATAATTCTGACAAATTTGTGTTTAGGCATTAAGATGACATAGTTACTAAGTATCTGTTTGCAAGGCCCACAAAGCTGCAAATGGAGTTGTCCAAGTGATTAAAACTCTCAAAAAGCATCGGAAGATATTAGACCACATACAGTGCCTAGTAGTAAGATCATTTGGAAAGGCATTTAGAACTACTTACAGAAGACACTTTAAACTGGGCTTTTTTAAAAAGAAAGATTTTTCCAATGAGATTTTTTTTTTAATTTAGACTGAAATTAACTTTATGGCATTTTTTATGATCAAGAATATTCCTTAGTCTACATGACTATTTCTGACCTTGCATTTGACTTTTAGGTCAGTTTTAATTTATGATTAGTTATTTTAGTCCCTTTCCAGATATGCAGCATATTCAGGAAGAAACTTATCCTCCCCACCATTGGGTCCTCCCAACTATCTACAAGTATCCAAAGACTCTGCCAGTGCTAGTAGCAAAGACTCTTCTTGTGACACGGATGACTTTGTTTTGGTTCCACACAACATCTCGTCAGACCACTCATGTGAGAATCTTTTCTACTTGTACACATTATATTTATTAATTTACTAACAGCATTTTAAACTTTTTTTAATCATACATTCTTGTGTAGAACACTTTTTTAAATGGGCATTTTATTTAGTTGTTTGAATTCTCAGAATTATATACCTACCTTCTACGATCTGTTCAGTCATCTTCTATAAAACAATTTTGGATTCTGGAGGTACATGAAATCTTTATAAGAAATGATCTCAAATTATGTTTGTATCTAAGCAGAATGAGAAAAGTTATGAAACAAAATAAAGAACTCATTTTGGGGGAAGAAAACCTAAGAGAGGACTCTTGTTTTGTTTCAGTTTTTGTATGTGTTTTGGGACAGGGTCTCACTGTATATCCCAGTCTGCCATTGAACTTACTCTGTAGTCCAGGCTGGCCTCAAACTCATAATTCTCCTGCTTTCACCTCCCTAGTGCTGGCATTATAGGCATGAGTCACCATGCCTGCCTTTGAGAAGTGTTAAAAACACTGTGTGTTTTAGAACATACATGAAAGATTGTCCACAAAAATAACTAAAAATTGCCAGGTGCCGGTGGCTCTTGCCTGTAATCCTAGCTACGAAGGAGGCAGAGAACAGGAGGATTGTGTTTCAAAGCCAGCCTGGGCAAATAGTTTGCAAGACCCTATCTCAAAAAACCCTTCACAAAAATAGGACTGGTGGAGTGGCTCAAGGTGAAGGCCCTGAGTTTAAGCCCCAGTACTGAAAAAAAGACTAAAAATCAAAAAGATCTGGGGTCATAGTTCAAGCAGTAGTGTGCATGCCTAGCAAGTGTGAGGCTGAGTTCAAACCCCAGTATCACAAGGAAAAAAAAATATTCTTTTTTAAAGGAGCCAGGTTAACTAAATACAGTTTCTTTGGATTAGTAGTAAAAGGTACCAGAAAACCCACAGAAGAGAGAAGTTAGGGAAAACTGTTAAAAAAGAAAAAAGCAAAATTTGAACACAAAGCAATTAGGATCAGAGGAGCTGGAGATTTGGCTGGTTTAGTTATTAAGTCATATCAAGGGCTGTCTGTGCAGGAGAAGTTTGCAGCAAGAGCCCTGTCTACTTAGTTGTTTGTCAAATAGTTATTTAATAGGTGCTTCTGCCAGGTGCTGTGCTTATTGTTTGAGGCCATATCTCCATCTGAACAATTTAAGGATTTATGCCTAGGGAAGAGACAAATGGACTATAGCAAGTGCACATGCAGCTATAATCAGTGCCGGAACTAGTAGTTAACTTTAAAAATACCAGTACAGTGGTTTTATTTCCTTATAAAAAGTATTAAAACTTTTGGACTTGGGTATGTGGCTCAAGTGGCAGAGCACATGCCTAGCAAATGGACCTGAGTTGAAATCCAAGTACCACCAAAATAAAACTTAAAAAAAAAAAAAAATTTAAAATCTACCACTTGAACCACTTTCTGCCTGCCCTTTTGGTGTTGCTTATTTTTGTGACAGGGTCTTGTTTCATGCCTGGACCTCAATCCTCTTGTTTTTGCTTCCCCATGTAGTTGGAGATAACAGGTATGTACTACTGCCATTGGCTGGTAAGACGGGTCTTGCGAACAGTTTTTGGCTGGCCCTAACTGTGATCCTCCCCAGTCTCTGCCTCCCAAATAGCTAGGATTATAGGGTTGAGCCTTAAAAAACGTATGTTATGAAATGTTTCAAACAGAAAATAATACGGTACATACTCAAGTCACCCACCATGCTATCTTGCTTTTTTTTTTTTTTTGGTGGAACTTAGGTTTGAACTTAGGGCTTTGCACTTGCAGACCAGGCACTCTACTGCTGGAGCCACACTTTACTATATTGCTTTTATCCTGTCAACATTTTGCTATATTTGTTTTAAATGTCTTTTTTTTTTTTGGATAGGAACTGGGGTCTGTTAAGTGTCTTTTCTTAAAGATGCCAAATGTTGTAGGTACATCTAAAGTCCCTTTCCTTCTCTTAATCCTTCTGGACATATATTCTTCCTGTAGGCATTTTTATTCCTCAGGGTGTGACTATATCCATGTAGAGCATAGTATTTTTCTTTTCACACTTATGAGTAAGTGGTATAGAGAGTGTTTACTTCATCTAGTTGATTTTTGCTTTTCTGTTCCTATTTTTGTTTTATATCCGGACATGTATCTAGTTAATGTGACTAGTTCATTTTAATATTTCAATTTCATAGTACAACTAAAGCCCAGTTTGCCCATTTCCCTACAGATTTATACTGGATTCTTTCTGCCTTTTGAGTACATTGTAAATATATCATACTAGGCATTCTGTGTACATGTGCTAGGATTTCTTCTAAGTATATAGCCTAAAGAGGTGCAACTTCACCTCTATAAAAGATTAGCACAAATCTAAAAGAAATGGACAGATTTCTAGATACATATGATCATCCAAAACTGAACCAAGAGGAAATTAATCACCTGAATAGACCTATAACACAAAATGAAATTGAAGCAGCAACAAAGAGTCTCCCCAAAAAGAAAAAGTCCAGGACCTAGGATTCTCTCGCTGAATTCTATCAGGACCTTGTAAAGAAAGAAACTGATACCCACCCGCCTTAAACTGTTCCATGAAGTAGAAAGAAGAAAACTGCCAACCACATTGTATGAACCAGATTACACTATATCCCAAACCAGGCAAAAGACACCTCCAAAATGGAGAACCTAAGGCAATCCTCCTTAATGAACACTTGATGCAAAAAATCTCTCAACAAATAATGGGCAAACCGAATTCGAGCAACACATCAAAAAGATTATTCACCACGACCAGGTAGGCTTCATCCCAGGGATGCAAGGGGTGTTCAACATACGAAAATCAATAAACGTAATACCACATAACAGAAGCAAAGACAAAAACCACTTGATCATCTCAATAGATGCAGAAAAGCCTTTGATAAGATTCCAACATCATTTCATGATAAAAGTCTCAAGAAAACTAGAATAGAAGGAAAGTTCCTCAACAATATATAAAAGCTATATATGACAAAACCTACAGCCATCTATACTTAACGGAGAAAAATTAAACCATTCCTCTAAAATCAGGAACCAGACAAGGATGCCCACTATTCTCACTCCTATTCAACATAGTACTGGAATTCCAAGCCGAGAAATTAGGCAGAAAGAAGGAATAAAAGGAATACAAATAGGTAAAGAAACTGTCAAAATATCCCTATTGGCAGATGACATGATCCTATACCTAAAGACCCAAAAAACTCTACTCAAGAAGCTTCTAGACATCATCAATAGCTATAGCAAGGTAGCAGATATAAAATCAACATAGAAAAATCATTAGCATTTCTATCACTAACAATGAGCAAACGAAAAAAAATGTATTGAAAACAATTCCATTTACAATAGCCAAACAAAATCAAATACCTAGGTGTAAACCTAACAAAAGATGTGAAAGACCTCTACAAGGAAAACTATACACTTCTGAAAGAAAAGAGATTGAGGAAGACTATAGAAAGTGGAGAATCTCCCATCTCATGGATTGGTAGAATCTACATAGTAAAAATGTCGATACTCCCCAAATTAATACACATGTTTAATGCAATTCCCATCAAAATTCCAATGACATTCATTAAAGAGATGAAAAATCTACTGTTAAATTTATATGGAAACACAAGAGGCCACGAAATGGCCAAGGCAATACTCAGTTCAAAAGAACAATGCAGGAGGTATCACAATACCTGACTTCAAACTATATTACAAAGCAATTAACAATAAAAACAGCATGGTACTGGCACAAAAAACAGACATGAAGACCAGTGGAACAGAATAGAGGATCCAGATATGAAGCCACACAACTATGAGCAACTTATCTTTGACAAAGGCTAAAAATATACGATGGAGAAATAGCAGCCTCTTCAACAAAAACTGCTGGGAAAACGGTTAGCAGTCTGCAAAAAAACTGAAACTAGATCCATGTATATCACCCTATACCATATAACTCAAATGGATCAAGAATCTTAATATCGACACCCAAACTCTAAAGTTGATAAGAAAGAGTAGGAAATACTCTGAGTTAGTAGGTATAGTAAGACTTTCTCAATGAAACCCCAGCGCACAGCAACTAAGAGATAGCATAGATAAATGGGACCTCATAAAACTAAAAAGCTTCTGTTCATCAAAAGAAATGGTCTCTAAACTGAAGAGAACACCCACAGAGTGGGAGAAATATTTGCCAATTATACATCATAGCAAAGGACTGATAACCAGAATATACAGGGAACTTAAAAAACTAAATTCTCCCAAAACTAATGAACCAATAAAGAAATGGGCATGTGAACTAAACAGAACTTTCTCAAAAGAAGAAATTCAAATGGCCAGAAAACACATGAAAAAATGCTGACCATCTCTAGCAATAAAGGAAATGCAAATTAAAACCACACTAAGATTCCACCTCACCCCTGTTAGAATAGCCATCATTCAGCAACACCACCAACAACAGTGTTTGTGAGGATGCGGGGGGAAAAAGGAAACCTCTTACACTGTTGGTGGGAATGTAGACTAGTACAACCACTCTGGAAAAAAATTTGGAGGCTACTTAAAAAGCTGGACATCGATCTACCATTTGATCCAGCAATACCACTCTTGGGATATACCCAAAAGACTGTTACTCCAGAGGCACCTGCACATCCATGTTTATTGCGGCACTATTCACAATAGCCAAGTTATGGAAACAGCCAAGATGCCCACCACTGATGAATGGATTAAGAAAATTGGTATCTATACACAATGGAATTTATGCAGCCATGAAGAAGAACGAAATGTTATCATTCGCTGGTAAATGGATGGAATTGGAGAACATCATTCTGAGTGAGGTTAGCCTGGCTCAAAAGACCAAAAATCGTATGTTCTCCCTCATATGTGGACATTAGATCAAGGGCAAACACAACAAGGGATTGGACTATGAGCACATGATAAAAGCGAGAGCACACAAGGGAGGGGTGAGGATAGGTAAGACACCTAAACAAACTAGCTAGCAT